CTCCTGACCTCTTCTTGACTGAAGCTGAATAAATGGGAGAGCAGGTCTCAGACTTGGAGGAGGTCTGTGTGGGGTCCAAGGCCACTCAGCCATTGGACTCCCCCAGGTCTGAAGTCCAGAGGCGGCCCCCAGACTCACTCCATCTCTCAGAGGCTGATGCCTACCCAGCAGACACTCACCTCAGTTCAGGGCAGCACCAACTTCTGCATGCAGTTAATGAAGTGACGTTTGCTTCCTGGCATAAAAGGGGACATAACAGCTGTTCTCAGAAAGCAAATGTGCAAACAGAATGTTATTCTTCAAGTTTAAATGAGGAAGAAGAAAGGGTGGGTGGAGCGGGAGGTGGGAGCTTACACAGAGTTTTACGTTTACAGTCTAATTCTCCAGAGCCCCAAAACCGTTTCAGAGGTAATGCCAGGATTTACTTGCTCAGGGTTTGCCCAGGCCTGAGGAGAAAACCATTCTGACTGGGGCTTTCACTAGAGGGTCTACATCTCTGCTGTCTAATACAGAAGCCACTTGTCATGGGTGGCTATTGAGCACTTGAAATGTGAAGCCTGAAGTGAGCTCTGCTGTGAGTTTAAAATGCACATAGCGCCGGGCTCGGCGGCTCACACCTGTAATCCTATTTGGGGAGGCCAAGGCAGAAGGTTCACTTGAGGCCTGGAGTTCAAGATCAGCCTGGGCAACATAGTGAGACCCCATTTCTATTAACAAAAATAATTTTAATGCACATAAGATTTCTAAGATGGTACAGAAATAATAGTTTTTAAATATCACTAGTAATTTTTATATTGATTATACATTTTTTAGAGGTTCTTTGGGTGTGTTTTTTATGTGTGTTTTGAGATGAGAGTCTCGCTCTGTCACCTAGGCTGAAGTGCAGTGGCTTGATCTCAACTCGCAACCTCTGCCTCCTGGGCTCAAGCAGTTCTCACTCTGTTACCCACCCAGGCTACAGTGCTGTGGTGCAATCATAGCTCACTGTAACCTTGAAACTCTTAGGCTCAGGCAATCCTCCTATCTCAATCTCCTGAGTAGCTGGGGCTACAGGTACGTGTTATTACTACCAGCTGATTTAAACATTTTTTTTTTGTAGAGGCAGGTCCTCTCTCTGTTTCCCAAGCTGGTCATGAACTCCTGGGCTCAAGTGATCTGCCTGCCTCGGGGCTTAGCTCTAGATCTGCCAGACTGGCAGTAAGGGTTTGATAAATCAATGATTTCTGGAATACTATACTCTTGCAAATTATTTCTCTGTTTTGCAATCTGATGTTTTTGAAGGTATCAGACCTTTCCTTTCACTCCCCGTTTGCTGCCCCTCTGTGATTTACAGCTGCCAAATAAAAGCTTAAGGTCTAAACAAGGCCATTAGTCCAGGCTCTTCAGAGAAACAGAATCAATAGGATATGGATTTATTAATTATGAGCCATTGGCTGACACAATCATGGAGGCTGAGAAGTTCCACAATCTGCCATCTGCAAGCTAGAGACCCAGGAAAGGCCAGTGTTGGAATTCCAGTCTGGGTCTGAAGGGCTGAGAACCAAGGGAGCCGGTGATAATCCCGGTCCAGGGAAATGAGAAGACTGACGTTCTGATTCAAGCAGCTAGGCAGGAAGCAAAAAGGGCAAATTGTTCCTTCCTCTGCCTTCTTTTCTATTGAGGCCCTCAACAGAATTTTTAAAATTTGATGTTAGAGACCGAATCTTGCTCTGTCACCTAGGCTGGAATGCTGTGGCATGATCATAGTTCACTGCAGCCTTGAACTCACTCCTAGGCTCAAGCAGTCTGCCCACCTCAGCCTCCCGAGTAGCTAGGACTACAGGTAGTATGCCATCAGGCTTGGCTAATTTTTGGCCTTGTTATGTTTTCGGCCCAGTCTTGAGCTCCTCACCTCAAGCCATCCTCCTGCCTCAGCCTCTCAAGCGCTGGGATTACAACAGGAGCCACCCTGCCCAGCCTAACTCTCAACAAGATTGGATAATGCCCACCCACACTGCGGTGGACAATCTACTTTACTGAGCCTCCCAGCTCAAACACAGATCTCATCCCGAAACCCTCCCGCAGACACACGTAGAAATACTGTTTAATCTGGACACCCCTTGGCTCAGTTAAATTGATGCATAGAATTAACCATCACACAGAGCTATGCAGGTTTTTTCAGAGTTTGTAGGAAAAAAATATTTTCTTTGTGAATAGTGATGATATAAGGAGTAAACATTTCCATGCTGGTACATTTGGGACATTTACTGGGCTCATTTTTTTGAGACGATGGAAGCTGCTGACTACAGAATGTGGACTTGATGCATAAAAGGGCCTAAACCAAGCAGGGTGATGGGACAAGAATGGGGGAAGGCCACTGGGCGTCATCCGAGACAGCTGAGGTGTGAGCAGCATGAATGTGGTGTTCTTCTCATCTCTTTACTTTTTAAGCAATGGACTTGATTTACTGTGACTTAAATTCTTTTTCCATATCTAAGCTGAAGGGGGATCACTTCCAGAGCATTTAAATGTAAAACATTGCTCCCTCTTTCTGGTCAAAGCATTTTTCCCCTTGATCATTTAGATACGTATTTTTTTCTTTCAACCTTGCTTCATGAGTCCTAAAGAAGGAGTTGACACAGGTCGACCTGGTATGCAAGGCCCCCTCCGCCTGTGCGTTCAGTTCTGGGTTGCAGGGCATACCAGGGAGAATGTTCAGTGTCTCCCCTGTAAAATGGAGATTGAAACGTGTACATTCCTCCACTCTCAGAGACCAGTGCTTAGTTCCAGATGCCTCTGGACAGAGTACACGCCACAGATGCCCCTTCAGGGTTGAGGCACACACCCCTCAGCAGCCACGACGGGCAACTTACGGCCCTCAGCCGAGCCTCTTCCAGGACTGGCACTCAGCCAAAGTGAGTTCCTTTGGTCAAAGTTACACCCCTTCTCAGAGGTAGCCCACATCCAGTGACTGCCCCATCTGAAGGTACAAAGCCCAGCTCACTTTCCTCATTGCAGGAAAGTGTCTCCACTCCAGAGCTCCTTATGGAATCCACTGAGGTCTTTACTGTGACCATGTCACAGCCCAACGTCTCCTTCAGCTCAATCCTGCCTGCGCTCCCAGAGATGGTGTTCCGAGAGCTCTTCCCAGTACACTTCTTGCATGTAAATCTCAGATTCAGAGTCTGTTTTCCAGGGAACCTGACCTCAATGACATGTCTGTTCTTAGAGTTTATTAAAAGTAGAAAACCTGGTATACCATGTAACTGACTCAGTACTCTCCATGTCTTGTCTATAAAAATGATAATTTGAGGCTGGGCAAGGTGGCTCATGCCTGTAATCCCAGCACTTTGGAAAGCCAAGGCAGATCACTTGAGGTCAGGAGTTCAAGACCAGCCTAGTCAACATGGTAAAACCCTATCTCTACTACAAATATTGAAAAAATTAGCTGAGCATGGTGGTGGGTGCCTGTAAACCAAGCTACTCATGAGGGTGAGGCAGGAGAATCGCTTAAACTTGAGAGGTGGAGGTTGCAGCGAGCCAAGATTGCACCACTGCACTCCAGCCTGGGTGACAGAGTGAGACTCCACCTCAAACAAACAAACAAAAAAGATAATTTGAGGAATACAAAAGCAGAGGGGAGGCTGAATTTATTCCAACATATAAACACAGTTGAATCAGATCAGGAAAGAGAAGATTCACAAAGGAGTTTTTAGCAAAGGTCCAGGCTAAAGGGAGTGCCAGAAAGTATCTCTAATCTCAGTGGCTTAGGAGGCTAAGGTAGGAGGATCCCTCCAGCCCAGAAGTTCAAGATCAGCCTGGGCAACACAGTGAGACTGTCTCTAAATAAATAAGTAAATCAAACATTTTTTTAAAAAGTGTCTTGTTGGCGTCTGGATAGGGCCTGACACATGGGCAGGTGGCGGTTCCTTTTTCCACCCTGTTCTTCCCCAGGCCCCACTCAGGGAATTTGGATCCCCTGAAGGGAAAGCACACCTAATGTATTTATAAGTCTTCCCTTGAGCAGAGGTATAAATGTGAACCTTACAGGTGTGAGCCGCTGTACCTGGCTAGTCTATGATAGTTCCTTTTTCCTTTTAAAATTGCAGAAGCAAAATATTAATACTTTCTTCTTTGCAAGAGGAATGCCAAAGCAAAGCCCCTCTACTGCACCTCCAAGCTGACTTCTCTCCCTCTTCAAGCCCACTTTGCTCTCCCCAGAGAGAACCATGACTGTCAGTTATTTTATTCCAGGTAAAATTGACAAATCATTGTATATATTCAAGATGTACAATGCGATATATGTAGTTTTTTTTTGTTTGTTTGTTTGTTTTTGAGACAGGGCCTTGCTCTGTGACCCAGACTGCAGTGCAGTGTCGAGATCTTGGCTTACTGCAGCCTCCACCTCCTGGTTTCAAGAGATCCTCCCACCTCAGCCTCCTGAGTAGCTGGGAATATAGGCATGTACCACCATGCCCGGCTAATTTTTGTATATATATATATATTTTTACACTTTAATGTTCAATTTAATTTTTTTAAACTTAATAAAAAATAGAATCAAAACACTTAAAATAAGTATCCTCACTACCCACTCCAGCAATTCATTTAAGTCATACCAACTAAAGAATATGAAAAATAAATTCCGAAGTGTAATTACTTGAAAATACACTACTTCCACCTTTTGTCAGCATTTTACATTTAGGCATATATTCTATAGTGGAAGCGGGAATTCTCCCTAAAAACATGATCTCCTTAAAATCTTGAGGTGCATATTAGAGCCACAGGCAATCTCTGACATATAAAATTGCAGTACAGGCCTTTCAAATTTGGCATTTCACTGGCACAATACAACGATCAAGATATATAACAACTGTACAGTGCCTAGACATTCCAGTAAGAACCATTATTTTCTGTAATGTAGAACGAATTAATACATATTCTACAAGGGGCAGTGAGGTTAGTAATTCTATCGGGTATTATGTTCTGACATAATTTTCAGATTGTACAATAACACAAACAACTTTGTTAAGGCCATGTTTTATTTGCTGATTAATGGACAAAAGACAATGTAATTTATTTTCAAGTATTTTCTTGAATGTCTGTGCTCATAAAAATCATGAAAAGTTGGAAAGACTGTTACATCACTGAAACTGTAAATATATCTTACATAATCTTGTTTGTACGAAAATACAAGTTAAATATAAACATAAAGCAATCATGATAATTTATGCAAATCTGTTTTATGGGATCATTAGTAATTATAAAAGTTTCTCACTTCTGTTATTTGTGAAAAGATCAATACCAGATTGAATAGCTACCTATTGGCAAAGGCCCTAAAAAGCTTACTTTAGCCCTAATCTTTTACATGGTTAAGTGCATTTCCTGATTTCAGATCACTTAAACACTGGGAAAAAAAATGAAAGGGCAGTATGTCCATAAACCAACAAATAATTTGGCTGTAATGTATCACAGAACACAAAGAAACCCCACACATCTGTACAATAAACATGTATTACACACACACACATGCAACACACAGTCATAAAACAAAGACTGCTGAGGTGCTGCTTCCAGTACAATATTCAGCTGTGCATTTTTTCTTCATCAAATGAAGAGCTTTTTGTCACCTTGCCATTCTTGAAGACAGTATGGAGAAGATCATGACCATATTCCTCAAGGTCTCCTTTTCCTTCCTCCAGTGTAACAAAATTCCCTGCTGGTGTCCTATGTAAAGATAGTCGGCCCTTTCTCGACCTTTTGTTGGGATCAGCAACTGGGTCCTTGAAGACGTCAATTCCAAGGCCATTGGTTACAACATAACTACACTTGAAGGAACGATTCAAGAGATTTCTTGTTAACCTCTGTAGCAAAGCTCCACCAGAACCGAAGGAAACATTTTCAATACTCCACTTTTTTAGTTTCATGCCTTCTACAATCTCTTGTAAGGTATTAATATCTACTCCATCCCCTTGAATCACTGTGAGATAAGGTGGCAGTGACTTGTAGCCCTTTGAGTTCTCAGTAACAGGAAACTTCTTACCTAAAATCTCCAAAACCTTTAATACAGTGTCGAGAGGGTTTCCAGAATCAGGTCTGATTATTAGTGGTGCCTCTGTACTTCTGGATACTATTAAATGTCTTAGATCTTCACCCCATATTTTCTCACACACATTACAAATGTCATAGCTATCGCTGACCACGGATACAGGCACTGATGAAAACTGTGTTACTGTGTGTTCAAAAGCATCTTTTTCATGGTCTTTCCCCCAGGCTGTTATGGTACTGTGTTCTGCTGCTGGAACAGAATAGCCTGGAACAGGATCTTTCGTTCCATAATATTTTTTTATAAGAGCAATTCCTGCTACTGTATCTGTTCCTTTGAAGTTAACCAAATGAGCAGATGCTCCTATGCCAGCAGTCTCTTGGCAAGAGACTCCTCTGTAGCCAAAATCATGTAACTTGTATTCCAGACCATCTCAGTTACCAGAAGTTTCTAACAAACAGTTGGCCAATATTTTCTTCTGCTCTCTAGAATTTGTGGCCACTGTGATTGGATCCCAGGACTGAACAAGAACAGTCTCGATCCAATTTGTAAGCCAGTAACACTCTGGATCTGTGTTTTCCACTGTGAAGAGAACATTTCCTCTGGGAATGACAGAACCATCAGGAACAGCTTTGACTTCTATTGGAAGATGCCCATCACATTTCTCAAGAATGTAGTTCCATCCCTTTTCATTAAAAACATCATCATGGAAATGTTCTTTGTAGACCTCTTTGGCTTCTTGGATTTTCTCTTTGGTTATTACTTTACCTTTTAAGTACTTATTAAGAATGTACTGCAACCCATAAAATACTGTTTCCTCGTATTTCACCTTCCTTCCATTTGACTTTTCTGCCGCCTTTTCACAGCATTCAAAGTAGGAATAAACTTTACTTGTGTTGGGTGGATATTGTTTATTTATTTTATTTTATTTTTTATACTAATAAGCCAAGAGCTTTATTGATGCAGCAGGCACTTTACAATGAGCCCAAGAGCATGCTCCTTCTCTGGAAGACAGGATGTCTGTACAAACTCTTGGTTTTTCCCACTTCAAAAACACAAGCTCTCCCATTTACCACGGCCCTTGGATCTGCATCTGCCCAAACCATCCCTCCCCCAGTGCACACAGGTGCGCCTGACCAATGCCAGCCACCACTCGTAGACAAAATGTCAGCTCCGCAGTACTCGGAGACAAAGGCATAGACTATCAGATCCTGCACAGGATTTAGGAAGCAGACGATTTTCCCCTCCAGCTTGAAGATAAAATACATTTCAGCAGATACATGTCCTGAAATAGTTTAGTTGGGAGTTCCTAGGAAGATGGTCCATTGTCAATCCCTTCTTCACCAGCCTGGGCATCCAGAATTCTTCTCAAGGTAACATGAGTCTTTTACTTTTTTTTAAACAGTCTTTCTTGCTGTAAGAAGTCTTCTAATGGAGCCTAGTCCTCCTCCTGCCAAGGCCTTTTCATGCCACTGGAGCAGCACTGCGCTGCTATTTTCTGTAGGCTTCTCAAAGCCTTTATAAATGTACTTCATTAACAAGTCAGCCGTTTCTGCCCAGTGACTGCACAGCCTGCTCGGTCTCACTGCTCTTGAAGTCTGTGAGCACTTTCAGCACCACGCCCTGGGCTCTTTCCTTCAGGGCTTGATTCTTGGTGTTGACGGGAGAGTTCCGCAAGGCTGCGTGGAATGCCCGAAGCATGTCCCCTGTGATGTGCCGCAGTAGCCCGTCCACCTCGCTCGGGTCCGGGCCTGGCGCCGCCGCCGCCGCCGCCGCCGCCTCCTCCTCCTGCTCCTCCACAAATCTGTTCTCGTCAAATTCGTCTATGTGCACCCGGCGGAAGCGCGAGACAGGGTGTTCCGGGCCATGTCGGGAGCTCGGCGCCCGCTCAGCCGGCTCCCCTCGCGGCCCGACCTCGGCTCTGCTCGGCTCGCGCCGGCTCCAGCTCGGGGGCCGTGGATATTGTTTATAATGAGTAACCTGCACAGCGAGGGGCGAGCGCGCCGGGCTGGCTCCGCGGCCAAAGCCCCGCTCGCTCTCTCTCCACTGCGGGCCCCGGGGGCCGTTACCTAACTGGTCCCAGCTCCAGGTAAAGAGGCCGCGCCTCAGGGGAGGGTGTGCGCTCGGCGGAGACGCTCAAGCCTGGAGCCCAGAGCCCCGGAGCCGGGGAGTCCGCAGGGGCCCGCCTCAAACCCCGCCGCGCCCCCGCCGCCGCGCGCCAGTTTTTGTATTTGTTGTAGAGACAGTTTCCAAGTTGCTCAGGCTGGTCTCGAATTCCTGGACTCAAGTGATCTGCCTGCCTCATCCTCCCAAAGTGCTGGGATTGCAGGCATGAGCCACTGCACCCAGCCCAATGTGCTGTTTTAATATATGTATACATTGTGAAATGATTAACACAATCAAGCTAATTAACATATCCATCACCTCCCATAGTTATTTTATTTTTTGGCCATCTTCGTATGTATTTTTCTGGATGTATTTCTATTTACACATGTATGACCCATAGAAATGTATGGTTTAGTGGGGAGTGCACGTGTTTAAATATGAACCTTGTGCATTTTGTTAGACAATTCACTTTTTTCACTTAATGCATCTTGGAAATCTTTCCCTGTCGGTACAGTGCTCAGTGAACGACCTGGCCTTTCTAACTGTTGCATAATGTTCCTTACTACGGCTGTTCGTACCTTATTAAGCCATGCTTTTACTAGAGGGCATTTGGGTTATTTTCAATCATATGCCTTCACAAACAGTTTTATAATTAGCATTTTTGCACATGCTTTGTCAGGCACCTATGGAAAGCATTTCTCAAGGATAGACCTTGGAAGTAGAATGCAGGATCAAAGAGCCTGTGCATTTTAAAATTTAATGGTACCTAATTGTCCTCCTAACTCCCAGTGCTGGACATTTTTAGTCTTTTAATTATTGCTAATCTTTCTTCTTTTTCTAAAAGACAGAGTCTCACTCTATCACCCACCCAGGCTACAGTGCTGTGGTGCAATCAGCTCACTGTAACCTTGAAACTCTTAGGCTCAGGCAATCCTCATATCTCAACCTCCTGAATAGCTGGGACTACAGGTATGTGCTATTATTACCAGCTAATTTTAAAAATTTTTTGGCCGGGCGCGGTGGCTCACACCTGTAATCCCAGCACTTTGGGAGGCTGAGGCGGGTGGATCACCTGAGGTCAGGAGTTCAAGACCAGCCTGACCAATATGGTGAAACCCTGTCTTTAAAAAAATTTTTTTTTTCGTCGAGACAGGGCCTCTCTATGTTTCCCAAGCTGGTCATGAACTCCTGGGCTCAAGTGATCTGCCCGCCTTGGCCTTCCAAAATGCTGGGATTACATGCGTGAGTCACTGGCCCAGCCTAATTGTTGCTAATCTGATGAGAAAACAGTGATATTTTAGTTATTTTTTTTTTTTCCTCGAGACAGAGTCTTGCTCTGTCACCCAGGCTGGAGTGCAATGGCACAATCTCAGCTCATTGCGACCTTTACCTCTTAGTTTCAAGCGATTCTCTTGCCACAGCCTACTGAGTAGCTGGGATTACAGGCATGCACCACCATGCCCAGCTAATTTTTTATATTTGTAGTAGAGACGGGGTTTCACCATGTTGGCCAGGCTGGTCTTGAGCTCTGAACCTTGTGATTCGCCCGCCTTAGCCTCACAAAGTGCTGGGATTACAAGTGTGAGTCACTGCACCTAGCCAGCATTTTAGTATTTAAGTGTATTTATCTGTTTACAATGAGATTTGACATATTTTTCTTTGCCGTTAGGCCCTGGTATTTCTGCTACTGTAAATTGCCTTCTTTATATCCTTTGCCTCCCCCTTACCCCCCACTCCCCCGCTTTTTTTTTTTTTTTTGCTTTTTTCTTATCGAATTGTAGGGATTGTTGGTATACTGAATATTAGTTCTTTGCTTGTGATACCTGCTTTAGATATTTTAATATGTCACTTGTCTTTTTAACTTTGTCCACAACCTCACCAGCATCTGTTAGTTTTTAATTTTTTCGTAACAGCCATTCTGACTGGTGTGAGATGGTATCTCATTGTGGTTTCGATTTGCATTTCTCCAATGATCAGTGATATTAAAGTTTTCATATGCTTTTTGGCTGCATATATGTGTTCTTCTTTTGAGATGGAGAGTCACTCTTGTTGCCCAGGCTGGAGGGCAATGATGGGATCTCGGCTCACTGCAACCTCCGCCTCCGGGGTTCAAGCAGTCTCCTGCTTCAGCTGCCCCTCCTATAGGTAGCTGGGATTACAGGCATATGCCACCACATCCGGCTAATTTTGTACTTTTAGTAGAGATGAGATTTCTCCGTGTTGGTCAGGCTGGTCTTGAACAGCCAACCTAAGATGATCTGCCTGCCTTGGCCTCCCAAAGTGCTGGGATTACAGGCGTGAGCCACTGCACCCAGCCCTTTATTTTCATTTATTTTTATTTTTTGAGACAGAGTCTTGCTCTGTCACACAGAGCAAGATCTTACCATGGAGTGCATGGTAAGATCTCGGCTCACTGGAACCTCCACCTCCTAAGTTCAAGTGATTCTCCCCCCTCAGCCTTGCGAGTAGCTGGGATTACAGGCTTGTGCCACCATGCCTGGCTAATTTTTGTATTTTAAGTAGAGACAGGGTTGCACCATGTTGGCCGGCCTGGTCTTGAACTCCTGACCTCAAGTGATCCACCTGCCTTGGACTCCCAAAGTGTTGGGATTACAGGTGTGAGCCACTATGCCCGGCCGGATGTCTTTTGAGAAGTGTCTGTTCATGTCCTTTGCCCACTTTTTAATAGAGTTGTTAGTTTTTCTCTTGTAAAACTGTTTAAGTTCCTTATCGGTGCTGGATATTAAACCTTCGTCAGATGCGCAGTTCGCAAATATTTTCTCCCATTCTGTAGGTTGTCTGTTTACTGTTGATAGTTTCTTTTGCTATGCAGAGCTCTTAAGTTTAATTAGATCCCACTTGTCAATTTTTGCTTTTGTTGCAATGATTCTTTGTGTCTTTGTCATGAAATTTTTGCCCATTCCTATATCCAGGATGATATTGTCTAGTTTGTCTTCCAAGGTTTTTATAGTTTTGTGTTTTAAGGCTTTAATTCCTCTTGAGATGATTTTTTTTCTTTTGTGCAGCAGTCTGCATTATTGAATTGATTTCTTCGTGTGGTATAAGGAAGGCATCCATTTTCAGTCTCTGCATGGCAAATCATTTATCCCAGCATGATTTATTGAATAGGGAGTCTTCCGCATTGCTTGGTTTTGTCAGTTTTGTTGAAGATCAGATAGTCATAGATATGATCTTATTTCTGGGCTTTACATTCTATTCCATTGGTCTATGTGTCTGTTTTTGCACCAGTACCATGCTGTTTTGGTTACTGTAGCCTTGTAGCATAATTTGAAGTCAGGTAACATGATACCTCCAGCTTTCTTCTTTTTGCTTAGGATTACCTTGGTTTTTCAACCTCTTTTTTGGTTCCATATGAATTTTAAAATAGTTGTTTCTAGTTCTGTGAAGATTGTTGGTAGTTTGATAGGAATAGCATTGAATCTGTAAATTGCTTTGGGCAGTATAGCCATTTTAATGATACTGATTCTTCCTATCCATGAGCATGGGATGTTTTTTCCATTTGTTTGTATCTTCACTGATTTCTTTGAACAGTGTTTTATACTTCTCATTGTGGAGATCTTTCACGTCCCTGGTTAGCTGTATTCCTAGGTATTTTATTCTTCTTGTGGCTGTTGTGAATAGGATTGCCTTTCTGATTTGGCTCTTGGTTTGAAGCCCACCTCTTTCTTTTCCTTTGGTGTAGCCTTATATGCCTGCAGGGCTTTTATCTATCAGAGACTCTGCCTCCTTAGTTAAGTGACCCTGTGAGAGCTTGTGGATATCAAACCAGGAGTCATCCAACAGGATCTAGATGGAAAGGCTGAGAAACTAGCTGTTGGGGCCTCAATACACCCTATGCTGTGTCCCCTCCTCAGGAATTCAGTCTTGTTCCATGGTGTGTCCTCAAAAGAATGAAGATGTTCATCAGAGAAGGAAAAGATACTGACAAAAGAGAGGGGGTAGGGTGATTCTCTCAGTCCAAACTTGCTGCAGCATGTATGTGTGGGGCTGGCAGTTCCACTGTGGTCTATGGAGAAGAGTCTTGTGACTGGCTTCTGCATTATTTTGCCTTTGCTCAGCTGTGGGCCAGTACAATAAGGATACAAAGTCCTAAGTCCATCCCTGAATGGGCCATTTTACTTTCCAAGACCAGCTGCCTTACAGAGAGATGCTGGACTTCATTACAAAGGGAGGTGGTGACTGAACAGTTCTGGTTAGGGCTGGCTACGCAATCTGCAAGGTCCAGTGCAAAATGAAAATGCAGAGTCCTTATTCAAAAATCAGGAAAGAAAAGTGCTATTAAAGGTGCTTTACGGCTGGGCACTTGGGCTTACGCCTGTAATCCCAGCAGTTTGGGAGGCCAAGGCGGATGTATCACGAGGTTAGGAGTTCAAGGCCAGCCTGACCAAGATGATGAAACACTGTCTCTACTAAAAATACAAAAATTAGCCAGGTGTGGTGTTGGGTGCCTATAATCCCAGATACTCCTGAGGCTGAGGCAGAGAATTTCTTGAACCTGGGAGGCAGAGGTTGCAGTGAGCTGAGATTGCATCACTGCACCCCAGCCTGGGCAGCAGAGCAAGACTCCATCTCAAAAGTAAATAAATAAAAATAAAGGTACTTTAAACTTTTTCTTTCAAAAGGATCTTGTTACTTATAAATGTAATAGGCATAATAGTGTTACACGCATAACAATATAGACTTACAAATGCAAAAAGCCACTTTTGGTGTCGTATGGTATTATATAATAGGTGATAATTACCCATGTGATATTTGATTATAAGATTTTTCTGGCTTACTTTTTTGCAAATTCATTTATGAGGTCATTGAAAGTTTTTCTGTTAGCAACTTCATTTTCAATCGATATAATTGAAAGTGACAGTCATTTTTGGCAAATACAAGATCTCAAATAATGTTTGGTAGTTTTTAATTTTGAGAAAAACCTTTCTGCTG